TTAGAGTTTGAGCTCGATCGAGTTCGAGCTTTTAGAGTTTGAGCTCGGTCGAGTTCGAGCTTTTAGGGTTTGAGCTCGATCGAGTTCGAGTATCTGTTTTCGAGTTCGAGCTCAATCGAGTTTCCGAGTTCGAGTTCGAGTTTAAATCGAGCTCAATCTCATAAAGCTCGGTATCAAAACTCGAAGTTGGGTTCGGGTTTGGTACATGTCTAGTGGGTGTGAATGTGCACGGACAGAATACTCTCACGCACACCCACCCACACCCCACACCCACACCCACACCCACACCCACACCTACACCCTCACCCTCACCCTCACCCACACCCTTGCACAATAGTTAAAACCAACATCCGAAGAACTGTAGTTATTGATTGAAATTTTTAGTTGTTTCTATATTGTCGAACTTCTAACTTTGTTTTTTTCTTCTATATTTGATTCATGAAAAAAATTAAAATAAACTATTGAAATATGGACAAATAATGAAAATGATAAATTTTAAAAAAATGATTTTTAATAGACTTAGACATTTAGGGGGAGAGAAAAGAATGCTCTATTTTTCTATGCCATTTGATCATACTTCAACTAATATCGTAATAATAAAATTTTGGTAAGATCTGTTTCGTTAGCATATGTGCCAGTTGTATTAGATCTAACAGGTGCGCAGATTAGACGATTATACTTTGCATTTCAATTTTAATTACTGAATACTTCGTATTAATAAAACGAACTATACCAGAAGATGCAACGTGAAAAGCTCTACAATTCATCAAGAACAACTTGTTCTATAGCTGCACTTTTTGTTTTCAAAATGGACAAAATTCTATGCAACCAATTCTCCAAGACCTTCGAGTTCCATATCTTTTCCTTAACTAATGGCACGTATACACTTATGATTTATTATTATGTAGCTTGTATGCGTCGGATAGAATTTTGTCCATTTTGAAAACAAAACGTGCAACTATAAAATAATCAGTCTTATATATATTGTAGAGCTTTTCACACTGCAGCTTGTGGGATATTTCGTTTTTCTTAATATAATGTATTGAGTAATTAAAATTGAAATGCAAAGTATGACCATCTAATCTTCTCATCCATTATGATCTAGTACAACCAGCACATATACTAACAAAATAGATCTTATCGAAAGTTTATTATTATGATACCAATTGAAGTATGATCGAGTAGCAGAGAAAAATAGAGCATTCTTTTCTCTTGAAGACTATAGAGAAAAAGTTTCTTAAAGCTTACTACATGGTATAAAAGTGTTACTGCCACTACTTTTGGATATCCCTGAGTAGTTACGGTTTTTCTTAGAAAATAAATGCGAACATGAACATGTGCCTTACGAGGAAACATATTTGAGTGTCCCCCCTGAGAACAGATTTAAAACCATTCTATTCGGTAGAGATCTTAATGAATATCTCTAATATTAATGTCTTAGCTGCTTTCGTTGAAATCTTAAAAAAAAGAGAATTAAACTTTTTCATTTTTATGTCCTATCCTACTGTCATAGCTGTACAGTTTTGTTACTCATATAAGATTTGTAAGAATGTTCAATTTATTTTATAGAAGAGTCGTTGAAAATGAGAAGGATCCGACTTGAAACAGGCGTCTATCTGTGGCGACTAATAGTATTACATCTATACTTTCTGACCATGTATCTAGAATAACTATTTATATGTGTCAGCTGGCAGAACTAATCAACTTTCTATACGTAACAAAAACAGAACGAAAGCTGAGTCGTTGATATTTGATTTGTTTTGAGGAAAATCAATTAATATTGCGAGACCAAAAGCTTCCAAGTTTTTCACATTATTTCTGGATCATCATATTTTATCGTATGAAATTTATATAATATTACAGCCCGTATTATGTCCGTATAAAACTGCGTAAGATGATTTCCATTACATGTTAGATATGCCGTTTACATCCGCTCCTTTAGGGTCATTATACAGAGTTCCGTAAGTATATCGCTTTTCCACCCTGTATCGCCATTTACCGAGTACTTTGCCCGACCCAGGATGATATAGATGTTTCTGACAATGAGCATTGAAAACGTTTCCGATGATCGGATGTGAAATGATGATATATGATAGTGAAAAAGTAATTGTTGCTTTAATTATTATTCATAATTCCTATTTAGTTTTATATAAGCAAAAAGAATAATTGATAACTATTGAAAAAATTTTTCTGTCATCTCTTATAACAAACACACTGTTGAGATAAAAATGACCGAAAGAAAAGAAAACACAGACTGTATATACGATGATCTATGAAGCTGGAGAATAGCAACAATAATATCATCTTGCGGTGACTATCGGCAGGGAGAACAATAATGCTTTGTACTATTGTTCATGAAGCCACTGTATAAAAATGAAGCACAATATTCAATAATGATGACATCGAAACAAATTATGGCAACAACATTATAGCATCTTTCTGTCGAATTATTCTATGAAATATTTATTTATTTCCAGTTTCATGAAGTATTTAGTATTTTCTCTAATCTTAATTCACGATTTGCTGTTATCATCAATAATATGTCTATTATGCCTGTTTTCTTGGGTCTCAATGGAATGAGTATAGATCATTAGCTATTGATAATGGCTTATGGTTAGCTGAACATGTATCTACATTTATCAATCTACGTCATTTATCGTTAATTTACATTAAACGTTCTTCTTTCGAATCAATTCTCAATTCATTATTACCCATTAATTCTCTCATCATATTTAGCGTACGCTTTTCAAATGATCATCATGCTGTTGATACGTTTATAGATGTGCCTGAAGGTGCATATTATGAACAAATTTTTCACTTATTTCCATCATTACGTGTATGTTATCTGTGTTTTTGGCGGTACATACATTATACCGTAGACAGTCAATTCGTTCTACCAATTGATAGAACTTTCATGCCTATTCAATCCAATTTATTATACTTACAATCACTTGCACTTCGATGCTCAGCAAGCTTTTTATCGTATTTACTTGAACATCTTCCACAATTAGAACACCTCAGCTATACACAGACTGATCCTTGGCTACCTGAACAACATCCACTAAGATATGGCGATAATAAGTAAGTTTCTTTCTTTAATATCATGTATATTTTAATTTGTGACCTCAATGTAAAGCATATGATAGAAGAGAATATATATATACTCGTTTTATCAGAAGATTTATCATCACTCATCTTACGCTTATCGTCCTCCTCATCCTAAGTCGCTTTTCTTTATTCGTGCTTGAAACATGTGAGAGAAAGCGTGCCGAAGAGCCAATCCTATCATGGTGTTTTACACCTTGGTCGATTACATATCTCACCCTCATCCTCTCAAGATAGGCGATAGATAACATTTGCCGTCGGACATCTTAAACGCAAGAAAAAGACAACGAAACACATTATTTACCTCATTCGTAACAATGAGAGTCCTCGAGAGTGTTTGGATATTTTTATTCTCTCACTTCATCCTCAGCAGTGCACATATTGATTTAACGTCCGAGAATGACGAACAGCATCAACAACATAAGGTCGGTGATCCGATTGTAATCGAAGTAACATGGTCGCAAAACGATTTTCTTTTACATACAATACCAAGTCTACAGATCGTCACTAATCCACTCGTATCTACACAGTCGTCACCTGTTCGTAAACAAATATTTGACAATTTGGCTCAGCTCAATGCTGAATACGTTCGATATGCTGCTTGGTTTCCCTATCCAAAATTAGCTGTCGCTGAACTTGACCCTCCATCAGACTTATTGCAATGTGGCAATGTCGGTGAAAGCTATTCAGTTAAATTATCATGTGAACAGGGTGGTGGTGTAATAAGCAGTGTAGACTTTGCTTCATACGGAACAGCAAGTGGTGCATGTGGTCAAATGAAACAGGGCACATGCCATGCAGCTACAAGTTTAGAAGTTGTTCAGAAAGCATGTATCGGTCAGAAAGAATGTAGTGTAACAGCCTCGCCTACTGTCTTTGGAGATCCATGTAAGTTTCACCAGTTGTTTTCTAAAATTCTGCAAGGAAATATTTCGCGTTTTCTTTGTGAATTATTCACTACTAATCGTAATCTTTCATTCATAGGCTTTGGAACACATAAGCGACTGCTCGTTCAAATTCAATGCAATCCACCACAGAATAATACCTACTGGGATTTTACATATCTCGACCCGAGTTTCAAAGATTTTCTTGCCGCTACCAATGGACATTCACGTATTATCATGTTTTCGACACAACCCGTGTGGTTATTTAAACTCGACACACCGCACATCTATCCGGACAATGCCTCCAACGTTGACTGGGGCTATCCACAAGGAACAGAATTGATCGATGATACGATGCAAGCTTTAGGCGATTATTATGGTCGTCTCACTGCCTGGTACACTCGAGGTGGTTTCTTCGATGAATATGGTAGAAAACATGTATCGAACTATGCATACAATTGGGATTACACAGAAATATTCAACGAAATCGAAGGCGAACACCAAATGTCTGTCGAATATTATACTCGAGCTTACGATGCTGTCATTCAAGGCATTCGACGACATACAAACAATACTGAGATGAAATATGTTGGATTGGCACATGGTGGTAGGTTTTTAAATTAACTATGTAGAAATGTATACTTCAAAAAAAGCAAATATATAATGTTTTGTCATTGAATACATAGGTCATAATGAATTTGATCGATATCGCTATTTCCTCAATCATTCAAATCATGCACCTGGCATTCCACTCGATATGATCTCCTATCATTTTTATGCATCAAGCACATCAAGAATAGATCCACTCAGTTATGAAGCATTCTTTCCACAGCTTGACACTTTCACAACTGAAATCACACAAATTGAAAACATTCGCAAAGCTCTATCACCCGAAACAAGAACAACTATCGATGAATTGGGAATTATTCTTCCTGATGATAATAATCCAAATGCACCTCAGTTTCCACTTATTTTTTGGAATGCCGGTGCAGCTTACTATGCTTATGCATGGGCAAAAATAGCACGACAAAGTATCGATGTCGTAGGACATAGTCAACTTGTTGGTACATGTTTCTCTTCCCTTGATATTGATAATGAGTTGACAATTGTATTTTGATGTCGTTTTTAGGCTATCCAAATTTGCCAAATCTACAACTCGAGCCGCAATTCCCAAGTGTTGCTATGCTCAATTGGATTACCGGTGAGGGAACAGCCAAATATTGGACTTCGAAGTTACTTATTGACACAGCCGACATTGACAATGATCAAGCTGTAATAACGCGTACTACCGATGTAGGCGAAATAAATGTGTTTAGTCAAGCATTTGTGCGCAAAAATCGTCAACGATGGGTGCTGATTGTCAATAAACGATTCACCAATGTTGATGTGCTCTTACCTGGCTGTACCGGTGGCACGATACAGATTGTAAACGAAGCATCTGGCTTTGGCCCTCCTATAGAGACAAAATTGATGGAAGATCGAATTACACTGAGTCCATTTGCTGTAGCTGTCGTTCACATGCCGAACGGAGAACTTTCGATTTAAGTGAAGCTATTTTTAAACTATAGAATTGACATTCATAATATTAATTGTGATAATAAAATAAATGCTAATCATCTTACAACAATTTATAATCAGCAGATAAGATGCGGAGTGACACATTCTTCATCACATGTCTTTTAAATATATCCATAAAATGAAATTCTTACGTCTATGAGCTAAGAGTCAGCAAAAAATCTCGAATAATCAAAAGAAAAAATTCAATATGTTTGGAATTCTACCAGATCAAATGTCATAGGAGCATTTGTTCATTCTGTCGAAGATCATATCAAAAAAATTAGGACGATCACAATGGTATTGACATTATTTTTCATCGAAAGATGTTCCCTTGGTTGAAAGACTAGGATCTGAAAACTTAAATTAAATCCAGAATACCTGTTCGAAACACGTTGTTTTTTAAACAACTATCTCTCTAATAATGCGTTTTAGCCCTAACTCTTAAAGGTTCTTTTCAATCGAATAGCTATTTTCCATTTCAATGTAAGATGGGCGTGAGTACTTTTTGAATAACTTTACAACAACAAGCGAGAAATAACTAGAAATTTTAGTACTATCTCGAATCGACATTACTCTATCTTTTGCAAAGTTCATGAGAAATCTCAGTCACTATTTGTCTTAAATACAACTTATGCTTTAAAAATATGTTTAATCTGTCGTAAAAACAAAATGCTCTCCTAACTATACTATAATACACAGATAGCCCAATTTCCAGTGTGTTGCAAAAGGTATATAAAATCAATATCAATTGAAGAAACTTTTCCAGGTTTTTGCCAGTACTTTAGGACCAATATTTTTTCCATTAAAACAGAAACAAAAAGGCAAAAAACAGCATGTCAAATATATCAAAGAATGATCGTCTACATATACTTACATAATGACAAATATAAAATATAGAGTTTGGTAGAGCAGATCGCGCTCTATCAAATTTTTTGATGGAAAAATTCATAAACAAAAAATGAACCAAAATCCAATAGGTTTTGACACAATTGCAAAACAGTTGGATCGACGAAGTATTAGAAGACTTCATTCAAAGTTGTAAAAATTCAAGTTTTTAGCTAACTTTTTATGTTCTTTGAAATTAGCTAACTCATTTCAAAAACTAAAACTGTTCAGCAACTTGTTTGGATGGTGATCCCGAGGATCTTATTCTCTAAAATTCTTTTCTTCTATGTCCATGATAAAGTGCTAGTATAAATTTCGCTTTATTCATATTAAATATCGAGATTTCCATTTGTAATCGAACTCGAACTTCAATGTTAATTTTCAAATATATAATTCAATTGTTAAATACAAAAGATCTAATCTAATTTTTTGTCGAAAATTTTTGTATCTCTTAGCCGCTATTATCGAAGTCAAATCAAAAGATATATCAGCAATAGAATTTGATCTCCCATCATTTTATATGACAGAATTTTGATCTTCAAAAATTTCTCTATGAATAATTTTTTCAAGGATGTAATATAGTCAAAAAGTCAAGAAAAATAAAGTCATTTTCTGTCATAGCGAAGTTTTTCAAATTTTTTGTTGGATCGAAAATCACAGATGAGCAATATGAATGTTGAACTAGTAATTCTATTCTAAAAAAATATAGACTCTCCCCTCCCTATGTAGACAATAAATGACCAGAAAGGCGGGTGTGGGTGTGTGAGTGTGGGTGAATGTCGGTGTGGGGTGTGGGAATGGCTGTAGGTATGAGTGTAAGTGTGATAATTGATGTGTAAGACGTGACTGCACGCCTACATCGACACTCACACCCACAACTACGAGAATTCGATAAAGTTCTTTCCAATTCTCAGATACTGGTTTTACCTTCGTATGTCCACCAACTCAAGATATTATTCGAAGTATAATAAATGAATTTCCTTTTTTGATTCTATCGGCTCATCGCATAACTATTGGAAAAATTCGACTTTGTTCGTCTTATCAGGTTAGATAAGTTGATTAAGCATCATCCAGATTGTTGATTCCGTCTTGAAACTTTGGCTGAACCCTACCAGGTACGATGACCTACTGGCGTCTTTCCTTCATGATCTACTTAAATTACTCTTGGCGTCGCCTTTAACAGCGCGAAGTTTTACTTCGAAATTTGAAACTTAATTCTTTCGATGAATCTTACGAGGATCCCATGAATTTCGGCGAAATATCTCGTAATAAGTTTATATCTCAGTTGAAACAAACCAAGATCAAAAACTCGTTTTATAGTTTTCATAGTTCATTACGAACTATGTGATTCGCACAGTTTCGATTCAAAAATTAATTTCTAATTTAGGAACATTCTCTTGTCAGATATGAGAAAAATTGATGAATTAAATATAAACTTATAATATTTGAGGAATATATCTGTTGTCATTATCCAAAATCACGTCTAAATGAACCGAAAATTTTGATTTAGAAATTTCTCAATATGAAGTTTCATTTAAAACATAATTCGAACATTCGAACAGATTGTGTTTGTAGATATGGTGAGCTTGACTTAATAAATAATAGATTCCTATGTGCTGTTTCGGATGAGACCACTTTCAGCCCTAACTAAGTGCGCTGATCTGATAGCATTGGTTTGTCCAATATGGTTATGTATTCTAGCAATTAGCAAAATTGCTACAAATGATTTTCAAAAGATAAGACAGTTTTAATAGTATGAAAAGATAGTCTGTGGTTCATGGGACTTAAAATTAACAAATATCTCTCACAAATCTTATTACTCGTGAGAAAATCGCTTTTCACTCAAAAATTTGGCGTTCAAAAACGAGTCGAGTACCTATACGTGGAACGTGGATATCTCTAGAACAGTTTGTCTAAGTTGAAACTTTCAGATTATTCCTACCTTAGAGAGATTTGCCTACTGGACAAATATCAATCGAAGCGATGTCATTGATTGAGTAACGTTGGTCGTGTTCTACATGCAATAGCTCTCAGAAGAAAATTAATTCATTAGGATCGAATATTACTTCAATCACATTCGCGTCTAAAAAGGATTTTCAAAATGAATAGAATAAATTAAATGAAGGATTAAGCGAGTCTTATCGACGAGCATTATTTGTTACAAATGAACAAGAACAATACCTATGGAACAAAGAAAATCATCTGAAATGATCTTCATGAAAGATAAAAAGAATCTTAAATCTATTGTAGTTTATTTCCTTTATATAAAGTTGTCAACCTTTAAAACTGCGTTATTTTCGTTACCACCATAAAAAATAATCATGATCACCCATGATTTTACCAGACAGTTCCAATGATTTAAGTAAAATCAATACTCTTGCAAACCATATATTTCCCGTATTTTGGATGCGTAATGTTAATAAGTCACGAGTATCATTGTTATGTTTTGATAGTAAAAATTTTATAGTCGATATAAAATCTTCTTGTAAGATTTTCATAGAAAGATGTTGTAAACGAGGACAAAGTTCTACGAATAATTTAACTTCTTCCAAAGTGCACATCGATTTAACTGTAAGGTTTGTTATTTTATTTTTATTTGACGTCATTCGAAATGTTGAATCATTTTTAAGCGACGTACGATCGATTTCATTTAGTAATAGAGAGTGAAGTATTAATTTAGAATAATTTGGTGTAAAACATAATATTTTAACTACTATATCAAAAGGAAAATGTTCACCATTAATGATTATTTTATTGAGCTTTTCTAAAGATACAATACGGTTGAGAATAGCTATAGTCGAATTACAAGGCATATATTCCTCGATAGAAATAGTAAGTTCATCGGCATTCGAGAAACAGATTGAACAATTATCCATTGCTGATTGATTTTGAATATGAACATGA